CTTCATATAGGCATCATTTGGTTTCCATTTATGAAGATAAAATGTAGACATCATAGCCCTGAAACTAACCATGTCCTTAGAATTCATTTATATTGCTTGAGTAGTGTGAATTTTAGTTTTGAACTTTCTGAAAAAATTAGGTCAGATTTGGTACCAAGAAAAATTCGTATCCATCTTTGATCTATTGCTTAAGTTAGTTACATATTTAGAATCATGGTTAAATTTCAAGCAACTTTCATGTTTACATTTTCCATTTTGGTTGAGAAATGAGGAAGTTATAAATTTGAACAATGGTGATGAATATTTTGGCACGAGGAAGAAGATGAAGTCATCTTCAGGAACGTGTTTCAAATATATATGTTTGGTTTTGTTTATAACACCAGATGTATAGCCACCCTAGTGGTAGAAAGCGCATGTGTAAGGCTTGGAACTATAGGGACCTGGGTTCGAGCCCCAGTCTTTCCCTTTTATTTATTTCATATTTGTTTCTATGATATTGTATGCATACAAGCCCAAGATACGCACCACGCACCCCTCATCCATACCATCCACATGCCAGGCAATTAAATCAAACGCTCCACAAAGCAAATACACGACGCACCTCCAAAAGGCTAGCTACACCTAATCAAAACAGACGCTGGACCTCTGTTTGGGCTTGAACTATTATTTGTTTTTTCCACCCTCTGACTACTTATTTGACACAGGCCCATTCATCTTTTTTTATTGTTTTCTGATTCATACAAAAAATACATTTTGGGCCCAACGCCCCTTTCACTATTTCTAACCCCCATTTTACTTTTCTAACACCTCAGCCCAATATCTTTTATATATATTTTTTATTTTCTTTATTTTCATTTTATTTATTTATTTTCTCAAAAATACAAAATATTTTTTTTTATTAAATTAAAAATAATTTAAACACTTATTTTATTTTGTTAACTAGAGTTTGTTTACACTCTAAATTATTTTTTCCAAATTAATACTAACATTCAAGATTATTTTTTTAAACAAATTTACTTAGACTTAAGTTTATTTTCTTCTTAATTTCAATGAACTTATATTTTAGGTTTTGATTAAATAATTAATCTCTTTTGTAAATTAAGTTAATTAGTTTAATTAGGTTAACTACTAAAACTCTTTTCTCCATCAAAAACCCTAAATTATATTTTTGTGTATTTTTATTGTTATTCATTATTCAATATGGTTGTAATATTAATTACGTTTTAATTGTTTTATATTTCCCATTTGTAAAATTGTACCCCCATCCCCTAAATGATGTAATACCGTAGAACTTTAAATTTCCACAATTTATCGTTTTCCATATTATTGCTAGTAACTAGGGTTTGTATGGCAAGACATAAAATCAACAACTAGACAACCCTAATTCAAGACAAAAATGAATGAAATCAAAAAACTTTGCACACTTACACCTCTAGGCTTAACCCACACTTGTTGCCTTGGAATTAATAGTCACATGTCCCTCGAACGTGGGATACTTTAGCAATGACCCTAGAATACAAAGATCGTAGTCCCTTGATGACCCTCCGATGTTGCCTTAGGTAAACGATCTTAGACCCTTAAGATAAATTGCTAAGGTATCCTACAAATATTGCCTTCTATGACTGTACGATGACCCACACCTGTCTCTTCACATCCAATGATATAGTTGCTTACCAATCAATGGTAAGATATTAATATCTAGAGGAGGAGGAAATGAACAAAGACTTTTTTGAGTAGGTAGAACGTTCATAGTTTCTTGCTCACAACATTTGAAAACATTTTTCAAAAACACCAACACTTTTCATGAACTATTTTCAAAAGTCAACACTTTGTATACATTCTTATAGAGACGAGAATCATTACAAAGTTCGCCTAAACAAATTCACTTTTAAAAAATACTTTCAAAATAAATCACAAGCACATTTACAAATCATTTTAAAGTGAATTAGCAACTAAGAGCCCGTAGATTACTACAGATGGAAAGGATGCTAATACCTTCATTTTTCATAACATACCCCCCGAACTCAAAAGAATTCTCAAAAGGTCTTTCATGTTCTTTTAACCCTTTCCTTTATTAGATAAAAGAAAAGTCGGTGGCGACTCTTGTCATCCGCAACAATTGCGATAAAACACAAAACACCCAAGTCAGTTCTCCCAACGTATTACAGAGATCATCCATATAAAGGAATGATCAATAACTCTTTACCTTTTTTGACTTTTATGTAGAGACCATGTTCAAAATTACATTTTCTAAATCCTTCGTCAATGAAAAATTTGTCAATCCTTCTAATCCATGCTCCTGGGGCTTGTTTTAGGCCATATAAGCTTTATGTAACTTGAAAAATAGGTCTTCCCTTACTTTGATGAGAAAATCAGGAGGTTGGGCTATGAAAAATTCTTCCCCTAGAGGGTCATTAAGAAAAGATGACTTCACATCAAGATGAAAGAGAAACCAACTTCTATAACAGGCCAAAGCAATTACCAACCTGATGGTCTCATGTCTTGCAACTGGTTAGAAGACTTCATCATAATCAATTCCTTGTCTATAAAGGAAGCCCTTTGCCACAAGCCTGCCCTTGTGCTTGGCAATTTTTCCTTCAAGATTTACTTTAATCTACAATGTCCTTAGTATAACAACCTAGCATTATGATGGCTTGGATTACACTAAACAAGGTTAGCAATATTCCCTGGATTTTCCTTGGATTAGCTAGCGTATTGATTTGTGGTTTATTTTGTTTCCTTTTCACGATTTGGCTACTTGATTTAACTTCTTGTAACACTGTTTCATTTGGATTTTAATTTTCCATGGTTTGTTAGTTTGCGGTTATAACAAAAATGTAACAAGGGAAAATGATATAAATTTAAAGCTGAATAATAAATCAGACTTTTTTTTGTCCATTTTGACCAACCTTGGCTTTACCCATTCATGTTTTTTCTTCTGATGCTAGACAATTGACCTCTAAATGATCCATCCAATATAATGATTATTAATAATAATTTTTGGCACTATTTCTCCCACCCTTAGAGGCAAGGAGACACTCTATGTAAACCTAAAATTGTTCTTTATTAATTCAGAAATATATTTCTGGACTTACTCATATACACCAAATTAACGCGTAAGTAAGTCACACGCCTTCATTTTGTCAGAAATGAGTCTGGAGATGCATCTACTTAATCAAATACAAAAATATACTTTCGTAATCACTCTTTAAGTAGTAAAAGTTGACATTTTTGAAGAAATATAATGCTATAATAGGTCAATTATAATAACTATACTATTATAATATTTTTTTTACCAATTAATTCATACACTAGTGTAATAAGATTAAAATGTTATATATTAGAATCAATTCATAATCCATAATACTATCAAAAATGACAAATTTTAAAACCATAATACTATCCATAATACAAATACTATAAAATACTATCCATATCAGAGCCCCTTGTTTCTTCTTTGCGTCATGTACAACAATACTGTATGTGTCTCAGATAGAATGACCTCTATAATGGCTCTCTCAGAAGTGGTTTCTAGAAAGTCTTCTCTCTTTATAGCCGCTCGCGCAATGACCTATATAGGATGACACACAGGTAGCACATTAACGACACGAAATGCCTTAACTTGCTCCTCCTTTAATATCTTATAATGATCTGGTCTAGGTGGATCTCCGTGAGCATCTAGTGTTATGTTGGAAAACTCTACAGTTCCTCAATCATTCTTGATTGTAAGTCATGTTACCTATAGCTAAATCAGACAAATCAAATAAAGTAGAAAAAATAAACCCTGATGAGAGACATTCACAATTAAACTAATCAATGCAAAATTACATAATACGAAAATGAACTTTTGTTTTCCTGTTAAACCAAATTTTGAACAAATACGAAAATTCACTTCCGTAGTTTCTAGCAACACAGAAAAGCAAAAATGCGCAGGGTACGAAAATGAGACAAAATGCACTGTTGAGTATAATTACCTAACAATGAGTGTAACTACCTATATAGTAACATGGATTACACAATCTATTGTTCCTATTATTTAATGCATGGAGAGAAAAAAAGAATTTGGATTGAAAAATTTATCGGATGTATAGTTAAGGTTGAATCACTTGGATCAAATAAAATAAAGAACACCTGATTTGAATGAAGTAGAAAATTGACTTGAATAAAGAAACTTGAGAAGTGATTTAGAGTATATTTGCCCGAAATGTGAAATGAAGAAGATTTGATACGTAATTGATGAAAACCTCGTCTGAAGATATATTTTCGAAAATTATTAAAGAGATGTATTTTCGTATTAGTTTTTTTTTGTAACAAATAAAGATGTGACTCACTTACGAATATTTGAGCGTAACCTGAAATGCGTTAAAGAAAAATATTGTACTATTATCTTTCAAAAAAAAAATTATAACCCTTTGCATATGTATCTTTTCCCGATTCGTATGATGATATGCATATTTGTAATTATGATTGTTTTATGCTTGTTGCTATGCAGTCATGAAAATTCAACTTCAATTATTTCTCTCATCTACATTTTCTACCATGATTACCTATTCCTTTAAAGGCTCGATTTCGCTCCCCAAATTAGATTGTACTACAAGAAGATGCAATAGAAATTCCAGAGACAGCCGCTCCACTAACACCAAACAACCCCAAAAAAAACCATGAATACCGTGGAATAATAATTAACCCTTACAATTTCACCACTCAAATAACAAATTTGAATCAGGTTTTTTTGTCATTACTTCCCATTTTATCTTTCTCCAAACTTTTTTTTTGTCTATTTGTATGTAGGCATGTGAATGCAGAGAACGTTCTCCTTATTGACCATATCATACTTCAATTTCGGCGGTGGAGTGCAGGTGACTCCACGATTGATCATATACAGACAAAAAAATCAGAATTTTCTTCAAAAAAATGAGTCAAACAAAATTATCTTCAAAAGAAACGAGCGCTCTCTCTTCAACATAACATACACACGAGTTTTGTTGAGTATCTGAAAAATGAGCATCCCTTCTCTAAAATTCGTTTCTGAATGTTTCATCAAACCGCATCCCCCAATCGAAGACTCGAACCAAATCTGCTATTTAGCACCTTGGGATATTTTAATGTTATCTGCACACTATATCCAAAAGGGCCTCCTCTTCAAAAAACCAACATCATCACCGGTTAATCAACCATATTTTATCGAGAATCTGTTGAAAAAGCTTAAACACACTCTTTCACTCACACTTTTCCATTTCTATCCTCTTTCAGGCCGTCTTGTTACCAAGAAAACCCAAGATCCTCATTCTTACACTGTCTTTGTTGATTGCATAAACAGTCCTGGAGCTAAATTTATCTATGCAACTTTAGATATCACCATAGATGATATCCTATCTCCCATTGATGTTCCACCCATTGTTCAATCGTTTTTCGACCATCACAAAGCAGTCAACCATGATGGTCACACCATGTCTTTGTTGTCCATCCAAGTCACTGAATTATTGGATGGTGTCTTCATAGGTTGTTCCGTGAACCACTCTCTTGGTGATGGAACTGCTTATTGGAATTTCTTTAACACTTTTTCTGAAATATTTCAAGATGACACTAATACTAATCCTCTTTCAATTTCACACCAACCCATCCACAATAGGTGGTTTCCTGAAGGTTATGGTCCAATTATTAACCTTCCTTTCAAACATCACAACGAGTTTATTCAAAGATATGAAGCACCGATTTTGAGAGAGAGAATCTTTCATTTTTCAGCAGAATCTATAGCAAAACTTAAAGCAAAGGCTAACAAATACTCTAACACAAACAGAATATCTTCTTTCCAATCTTTATCAGCACTAGTTTGGAGATCTATAACCCGTGCGCGTCAACTACAACAGGATCAGAAAACAACTTGCAACTTGGCTATAAACAACCGAACCAGAATGGAACCCCCTATTCCTGAGGATTATTTTGGGAATTTAATCCATGCAGTGAGTACTGATACGACGGTAAAGGAACTGCTAGAGAATGATCTAGGATGGGCAGCTTGGAAGGTCCATCTGGCTGTTGCGAATCATAATGACAAAGTGGTGCGGGGATCGGTGGAAAAATGGTTAGAGTCTCCTATTGTGGTTCGAATCGACATGATATTGGATCCTAGTACTGTTATGATGGGTAGTTCACCGAGGTTTAATATGTATGGAAATGAATTTGGAATGGGAAAAGCTTTAGCAGTTAGAAGTGGTTATGCTAACAAATCTGATGGAAAAGTAACATCATATCCAGGACAAGAAGGTGGAGGGAGTATAGATCTTGAAGTGTGTCTTTCACCAGATACTATGATGGTCCTAGAATCGGATGAAGAGTTCATAAATTCAGTTTCACTGTTTAATCATTCGTTCTAGTCTTTGAATATGCTATGGTGTTGAAAAATGAGAATGCGAGATGTAATTTGTTTTACACTACATCATCTTGTTACATAAGGTCACTTTGTAACATTTTATATTTTACTATGTTAATACATTTTACTATGATGTTAAATGAGTTCAACTGAGTAACAAAAAAAGTTTAGTTCCTCTAATAAGAATTATATTAGTTCAAAATTCAACTAAATTTCATCATCAACTTTTTCTCTAAATTTGAACTTGCATACTCACTTATAGATCACTTACTACTTCTTTCAGCTCAGATCAAATGTACTGATTTTTATTTTTTTTGAATTTATAGGCTTATCAAATATACTTGTTAAATTGTAAATTAGTATAAATTTAATTAGTTTTATTTTGAACTCTTAGTAAGTTAGGTGTTCTAATCTTACTCTAAATTAGTTATTTCTTCTAGTATATAAGACACCATACGCACATATAATTCCTTGAATCAATGATAGTAAAATACCACTTTATTTTTGTTTTGATTTTACATGATATCATTAACTAAATCTATATAATATATTAAATCTAATGTATTGAATATTATAACAACACATTATCATTTATAACTTTAATATATTATTAAGTATAATTTTAAATTTATCACATCATCCTATAAGGCACATCTTAAAACTCTTTTTCATCTTATACTTCAATAAATTGAAAGTCACTATTTCGAACCCTTATAAAGACAAAATAAAATATCATTTTGAATAAATTGATCTAACAAAAAAATTATTAATCAAACTATCTATATTCCCTTAAATTCAAAATAAATTAAAAGTATTCTCTCATATTTCAAATATAAAAGAGATGTAAAAATTTTAATACAATAAAATATTTTTTGTTTTCCTGAAATTATAACAAATAAAAGTAACACTTGAAATAAATATTCTTAATCTTAAAATAATTCTTATATAATTTTCAAGTATAAATTTATTTAAAAAATATTATAGTATGTAACAATTTTTTACGATGTTTATATACTTTATTATTATATTTTTATATAATATCAAATAATAAACTATTGACAAATAGAAAAATACTACACAAAAGAGATAAGAGAATTCAAAGATAATAAAATATTTTCATCTTATTTTGAACAAAATGGTCTAACAAATCAATCATTACTCTAACTGTGTATATTCTCTTATATTAAGAATACTCTCTCAAAGTCCAAACACAATAAAATATTTTTTGTTTTCCTGAAATTATAGCAATAAAAATAATACTTAAAATAAATATTTTTAATCTAAAAGTAGTTCTTACACAATTTACAAATATAAGTCACTTTAAGTTGATCTTAAAAAAATAATATAGTATGCAACAATCTTATAAATTTTGACAAAATAGACATACGTTTTATAAAGTATTGAAAGTTTTATTTGATAATAATTATAAATAAAAATTTAATTTTATTTAACACTAAAAATAAATACATATATTTAACACGTTAAAGTAAAATATCTAAATAAAAGATAAGTGCAAAAAAAAACACGCGAATAAAAACAAAACAAAAAAAAACCACTTTGTAGATACGTAAGTTTGCAAACCTAAATTACGGATATCACTCTCAATTTACACACATGTATTTTTCTTTTCAAATGAAATGTATATTTATTTGTCTATGTAATTAATTTATATTATTGTCTCTATTATAATTCACACACAAAAAAAAGTTTGTTATATAAATTTAGTAATCATATTTTGTCAAAATCAACTCTTAATATATTTAAAATTCAATAAAAAACAAACAAGCTAATTTACAACTGCGCATCGCGCGGGTCTTAGTCTAGTTATAAAGTTAAAATGCATGCCAGATTAATATAGAAGAAGCATTTTAATTTCAATCTATAAAAATAAAGGGATGTACAAAATTGTGCAAATTATAAGCGAATTAAATTTATGAGTCATACCATGAAAAAAGAGTGATTGAACAGAGATTAAGAAAAAAAATACTCAAGTCACCGATAATCATTTGATTTATGCCGAGAAGGTAAACCATGGAAGTGATTAATCTATTACGACGTGTGATGGTGCATTATCAGATGAACCAACAAGACTTGTAGTTAATTTTTATTGACTTGGAGAAGGTGTATGATAGAGTGCCTAGAGAGATTTTATGGAAATTCCTAAAGAAAAAAGAGGTCACGATTGCATATATATTCAAGTTATCCAAGATATGTATGAAAGGATATCAACTAGTGTTCAGACACAAAGTGGGGAGAAAAATGATTTGTGTTTTACAATTGGTTTGCGTCAAAGTTCAAACCTAAGCCTCTACCTTTTTACATTAATTTTGATGTACTCACGGAACACATCCAAGAGTTAGCACCAAGATGTATGCTTTTTGTAAATGATATAGTCTTTCTTGGAGAGTCGAATGAGGAGTTAAATGAGATATTGGAAACTTGGATGCAAACTTTAGAAACACATGGTTTTTACCTAAGTAGAAGTAAGACATTGTATATGAAATATAAGTTCAACAAAATAGAAGTGTTTCTTCCCTGAATGTGAAAGTTGGAGACCATGTTATCCCTCAAGTCACATAGTTTAAATATTTTGCGTATGTAATATAAAATGATAGAGAAATAGAAGGAAATGTAAATCAACAAATTCAAACCGGGGGATTGAAATTAAGAAATGCATCATGTGTTTTATTTGATGCAATGGAACCGCTCAAGCTAAAAAGAAATTTTTATCAGACTGTAGTAAGACCTGCAATTTGTAAGGGACAAAATGTTGGGCGATTAAGAATCAACACGAGAGTTAAGTAAGTGTATCAAAGATGAGGATGTTGCGGTGCATGTATGGTAAGATTCGATAAGATACAATTAGAAATGAAAATATTAGAGAAGAGTGTCGGGGTAGCACGTGTAACCCCCGAATTCAATTAATTAATTTAATTTAATTTTTGTTACTTTTATTTTATTATTTAAGTAATTAATGTGCTTTTAACTGCTTGTTTCGATGATAATATATGATAAGTGGTTATTTGGCACTAGTGGGTGTCTTCTAGAGAGGTATAGAAATTAATAGAAGTTACTCAAAATTTAGTTGATTTAAAATAATTAAATTTAATAGAATAATAATTAAATAATAGAAAATGGTGATATTTGGTGGAAATTATAATTTTAGAAAGATTAGGGAAAGTGGTGAAGGTAAAGGTGGGTTGAGGGAAAAAAATGTGAAAGTGAATCAATAATAATTTAGGTTAAAATAAATAAAATACGTGAGGGAGCCAATAACATTTAGACAAGTAGAAGTTAGAATTTTGAGAAAAAGAGAAAGGAGACAAATAAGGCTTAAAGGAGAAGAAGATCATCATAGCTAGAATTCGAGGAATTGCTTAAGATTCGGGTAGGGGGGACTACTCTTATATATGAGTTATCATGTGAAGGGTAGAGAGGGATCCTTACCCTCCTCTAGGTTATTTTCTCCATTGTTATGTGTTATGAGTTCTTGTTTATGATTATGTGAAATCTATGTTAATTGCTATGTTCAACATACAAATTCGGGCCCGGTTCTATGAGCTTATTATACATGATTTGTTGATTTGAATTCTAGATATTATTGTTGCCATTGTTGTGTTTTGGTGTTTTGGACATAACCTTGAATCCATGAAAAAATGACGATTTTTAGGGTTAATTAATACACTTGTGGTGTTTAATGATTGTATAATATGTGACTATTGATTTCTGGTTGATTTGAGTGGTTAAGAGTCAAAATCAGAGCTTGGAATGAGCTCTAATGGTGAAAATTTGTTTCTAATTTTTTGCTGTTTTGGGAGTCTGCGCTTAGCCACAAAAAGTTACGCTTAGCGAGCCCGCGCTTAGCCACCAAAAGTTGCGCTTAGCGAGGATGACAACGCGGAATAGTTGTTTTCAAATCAGTTTTGCGACATGGTTATGTTTTGACGAGTGTTAGTACTGTTAGGTGTTAACTAACACTCTTTGGCACTGCTTGATATTAATTGATGCATTTTTAATTATTTTGCATGGTTTTTTAATATAATTAATGTTTATTTTCATGGTGAGTGGCTAGGAAAGGGTGAGCTATAGAGATGTGTGGTGTATGGTTTAGTCCAATGAGTCATTTTTGTATGCAGATGATGTTTTGCTATTGTTTTGATGTATTTGATGAGATAAAATTGATGTGTTGAAATGTTATAAATGAATGTATAATATGTTGTTAGGTGTACAATTGTTGAGTGGTGAATGATGAATATGCATGTGAGCTGTGAATTGGTGATTATGATTGTATGTTATGAAGATAATTATAAATTGCTTGTGTTGAGGTGTGTAGATCAAAAGTAGGGAGTATTCTATATGCTTATTGCAGGTTATTTATGGTTAGAAGTGGAACCATAATTAGTCTTGTTAAACTTTTTTTATGTCATGTATCATATGTGTCTGTGTTGTGAAAAGAGGCGAGTCATGGGTTTATAAGTGTGGGGACCAGTGATCGTTCGAGGTCTATAAGTGGGGACTCGGGGTACAAACACTACAACAAAAAACATATCCAATGTCGAACGTGAAATGCATTAGACCTCGGCTACATAGAGAGGTAACAAAGGGAGGCATGAAAAACTACCACTTTACACCTTAGTTATTGAATAAACGAAAGGAAAAGAGACACTAGTCATGGATTCGATCCACAACAACTGTGTTTTTGTATTTTCAAAACTGCACTACTTTTTACCTAAATTTTTAACAATAACCGAGTGTGGTAACCGACAAAAATAAGAGAGTCATCACCACTATTTTTTGTCCTAAGGATGAGAAAGATTGGATATCCCTAAGCTTTTTATAGATTTTAAATTCGTGAGTCGGTTAGATAAAAAGGAAGGTGTTAGGCACCCTTTATCTCCATTGTTCTCAAGGGGCTCCTCTTGTAGGTTTCGGGGTAAATAAGGGATTTCTACTTAACTGCGTATTTTCCATGTATTTAAGAAAATGTTTAATCTTTTAGTTATG